GTAGAGTCGCTGTCCTCTGTGACACGGGGGTCTCCACCAGCCCGTTAACGGCAGCACAAAACAGCAGACACTTTGAGATACAGAAACACACGTAGAAAGTCGTAGTTGGAAATGGACTGCTTCACTGTACTCAGAAGGTACCTTCATAAAGCACAGTGAAGTCCAGGGTTTCCCAGCATTGTATCTGGGGCCAGACTGCCCCAGGTTCGAATCTGAGCTCCAGCCCTAAGCTTTATAACCTTGGGGCAGATGGATTTACTACTCGCTCTGTGTCTCAGTTTTTTCATCTGTAAAATGAGGTTAATGGCATCTACTTCAGGACATTGACAAACAACATTAGACAATGCATGTATTGAAAACCGCGACAAGGTGTTCCTGACACGCAGTTAAGCATTCAGTAAATTTTAGCTGTTAGGAATGTATCCATGGACACTTCTGTGCTCTGTGATGCACACGTAGGTATCCATCCATCCATCCATTCATTAATGTGACGGACATGGACTGAACAGTGATTGTATACTAGACACCATCCTGGGAAGACACAGCTGAACATGCCATGGCCTCTTTTCCTGATGGGGTTCCCCAGGCCAGTGGGGAAGAAGGCAGAGAAGCAGTGTGGATAATGTAGTAAATGCTGGGTGCGATGGCGGAACCGATCCAGGGGCTATGTGAGCACACAGCGGGGCAAGCTGTGTGTGGAGGCTGGGGAGGGCTTTCTAAGAAGAGATAATCCTTGACCTGACTCTTAGCTGGCACTTCCAGGTTCAACCCCATCATTCCCCACCACGAATCCCATGGAACTGCCACCATGGGCTTGACCTTCCCTGAACCCATCATAGATCTTGGGCCTTAATTCCTCTTCTCTGCCTGGCCCATTCATATCCTGAGCTCTGCAGAGTTCATTCAGACAGGACCTCAGACATCTCAGCCGCATTTCTACATGTCTCACCTCTTAACTTACTAAGCATCAGCTGTGGGACTGCATGAGGCATGCAGACAGAGGCTCTCCTTCAAAGCATGCTCAAAGTTAATTCCCCCCTTCCCTGTGTTTCCAGGGAGACACAGTTCGCAGCTCTCAGGTACCACTTCTTCTTCTCTTTGCTGTTCCACAACCCACTGTCAGAGTCGGCCTCCTCTGTTACATTTTAATGCCTAGTCTAGGTTCCCTCCATCTCTGATACTTAGCACATGGTAAATGCTTCCGACGTGTTTGTTAAGGAGCCCTGATGGTAATGGTTAAGCACTTGGCTGCTAACCACAAAGTCATTGATTCAAACCCAACAGCCACTCTGTGGGAGAAAGATGTGGCAATATGCTTCGATCACAATTACAGCCTTGGAAACACTATACTCTGTCCTGGTGGGTTTCCATGAATCAGAATGGACTCAATGAGAATGGAAAGCTGTTTGTTAGATGAAAGGAAATATTCTCAACTCTAAACTTGACAATCGACACCAGCCATAAGCTCACAAATTAACCAGACATGTAAGCTCAATAGACACGTGCCCTGGTTCAAGTTAACTTTTGGCTCAGCGTCCACTCAAGCAGACAATGGAGATTGGTCTGATTATTACCAAAAAGCACATCAGTGAGATGCATTCAAAATGAAGCTCAGATTATACTCTGCACCAAAGAGTTAGGGAAAGAGAGAGCGCTAAGCTCACCGATTTGGGTTCGCCATAGGTGCCGAGCCCAATGATGGGAATGCAGTTTCCATCGTTCAGAAGTATGGCGTTGTTTGCAGCGCTGAGGCTCATATTCTACAGAGTGGCTGGGATGTCACGAGTGAGTCCACACACCACACGGACGTGTTTTTGACCAGGAGTCCAGGGCGAGTGGGAGGAGTTGTGGGAGGGAAGGGAGATTATAAAGGTCTGTTTCTCAACCTTTCTTTTTTTTCACCCAGAGAAAACCTAACATAGCCTTTCCTTTAAATGTTATCAGAGAAAAGTAAATAATATATCTCATTGAGAGTTTATGTTTACTTGTCTGCACAGTAAAGCTTGCAAAAACTTTGTTAGACTTTGGAACCAAATCTAGTTCACCTCTGTCAGGACATTTCTATTGGCAAGTAAGACTGACCTCACGTGATCTTCAACCTTATAGGAGATAGTGGTTCACGCTCCTGAATGAGCCAGCATTAGAGCTAGCTTCAGGTGAGACGGAGCCCTTCTCTTGGGACCTCCCTGGAGGTTTGGCTGGAGCGGGGCTGGGAAGGGGTCTGGAGGGTCCCATCACCGAGTTCCATCTAGGAAACACTGGGCCGCAGTCTCCAATGACATGGCCAAAACACAGCCTGTGACTCTGCAGTGAGTCTCTCCACCTCCTGGCTGTCAGGCTGCTTTCATCCACTTGCCTTATTGAGAAAGGCTGCGGGCAGTCCTTGGAGCAACATGGCTCCAAGTTCAAGCCAACAGGAATGAGTGTTATTACTCCACAATGTAACTGGAAAGGTGTATTTGAAGTTGTCATGGATGAGATGTTAAAACCTCATAGACGAAGGGGTACTGGTTCCAACTATCTCATCGTAGAAACCAGTTTGTCCCATTAACAAAAACCAGATGGTTGAACATTCCTTCTGGTACTCAGATTTGTAATTGTTAAGGCTCTGGGTCCTTAGAACTCCAGTGATCTTTGTGGGACTCCTTCTCTTCAGATCAGATGGTTTCTTTACAGGACAAACGAGAAACGAGAACTGCCGTGCTGTTGAGAACCACCCAAGATGAGAGGCTTATTTCAGATGGTGTTCTGAGGCCACCAGTAAATCTAATACATTTAAAATAACCTCCTTAAAACCTAGTCGGAAATGACTTGATGGCACCTAACAACAACAACAACTCGGCCTATGTAATGAATTGTGGTATCAAGCTAATTTCCCTTCTACACCCTCTCGTCTTACGCCCTTATTTGATGAAAAGGACATGAATTTGTCTATAACTTTGCTTGTTATTATTCCAAGATACTATTCAACTTATTTTATCTTGTTTAACTTTTTATTGTGATTGGTGTGGAAGTTTGCAGAGCAAATTTGTTGTCTGTGCAACAGTTCATACACGTTTTGTTTCGTGACAATGATTGCAGTCCCCATGATATAACAGTCCTCTTCCCACTCCCTCCCTGTGTTTCCCATTTGCTTTCATCCTTCTTCCCTGTCCAGTCCTGCCTTCTGAGCTTTGTCCTTGGGCAAACGCTGCCCTTCTGGTCTTGCATGGTTGACTGTTCTAAGGAGTGGGTACCCTGATGTTATCGGTCACCCTATAGGTCTGTCTACTGTTTGGCTAACAGTTGAACCATGGGAGTAAGTTTTGTGCCAGGCTTGAAGGGTGACTAAGGGCCATAGTCTCAGGGGTTCTACCAGTCTCCATCAGACCAGTAAACTTGGTCCATCTTACTATTTTGGGTTTTGTTCCACATTTTTCTCCCACCCTATTCAGAACTTTCTTTTATGATCCCTTTGAGAGTGATCAGAAGTAACACATTTTTATAGATACTATTCCCACCTACTTTGGTCATGTTGTCAGAAGGGATGTCATGCTTGGTAAGGTGGAGGGTCGACGAAGGAGGGAAAGGCCCTCAACGGGATGGATTGACACAGTGGCTGTGGCGATGGGGTCAAGTATAGAAGGGATCGTGGAGCTAGCACGGGACCTGGCAGTGTTTTATTCGGCTGTGCATGGGGTTGCTATGAGTTGGAGACGACTCAACGGCACATACAACAACAACATTCCTATTACCAAAGAAGAAGCACAAAACAATAATAGGTTTATTGGATGTTGGAGATAATATATACCATGCTTAAGACTACTTTTCTGTCTCTATGAATGACTGCCTCCTTGGCCATGAGATCAGAAGAAATGGATGGTGCCTGGCTACCATTGCTGAACATTTTGATCAAAGATTCTATAGAAGAGTCCTGATCAAAAGGGGGAAAATGTAGAGCAAAACTGCTAATTCTCATGGACACCAGACTTTCTGGAGCCAAGGGGCCTGGATGACCCCCTAAAACTATTACCATGAGATAATTTAAAATTTAAGTAAAAAATATCTCCTGAGGTCTTCTTAGGAGCTCTGGTGGCATAGTGCCTAAGGCATTTGACTGCTAACCAAAAGGCTGGCAGTTCAAACCC